GTATGTATGTATTTTTGTGTTTTTGTATGTTAGTATGTAATGTAATGTAATGTAATGTAATGTAATGTAATGTAATGTAATGTAATGTAATGTAATGTAATGTAATGTAATGTATGTAATGTATGTAATGTATGTCATGTAATGTAAGGTAAGGTAAGGTAATGTAAGGTAATGTAATGGTATGTATGTATGTGGGTGCTGATGAAAATTCCTTTATCTGGGATCCGTCATTCTTAGCCAAAAAATTACTTTAGCCAAACTGTCGCCTTCCTGCGTTTGATCTTTCGCCGAAGTATGTTGTATTTGTGTTTGCCATGTATGTTGCATGATGGATATCAGTTTTCTCATGTCAATGGCTTCTTCTTTACTGGCAGATTCGAAATAAAAACTTCACTGCTTGTCAGCATGTGTCTTCTACTTAACTGTTGACACCCTGTACGTCTCTTTTGTTTCTCCTGGGTGTCTGCAAGAATCAAAAGTTGCAAGAATCACTGTTGCAGCCTGTCGCTCAGACTTACTCATAATGGGCTAGGGGTCAGATGTGGCAGCTTCGCCAATCTTGAGCTGAGCTTTCGCCAAACTTTCGCCTTTTGCGGGGTAGAGTTTTGTGGCAGAGCCACCCCCCAAAGCAGGAGTAGCAGTAGCAGTAGCAGTAGCGGCTCAGTAGCGGTCCGGTAGTAGTAGTAGTAGTAGTAGTAGTAGTAGTAGTAGTAACGGCAGCAGAAAGAACATCTTTAGCCATATCTTTCGCCCAAAAAAGATTACTTTCGCGAACGCGAACTCGAGAAAAAACTTTCGCCAAATGAGGTTTTGACATGTTCCAGGGTCATCGTCAACAACACTACCTATTAGGACCTTTAGATCGACAACCATGTATGTGCGTATGTTATGGTATGTTATGGCTGTTCTGGTATGTTCTGGTATGTTATGGTATGTTATGGTATTATGGTATGGAATGGTATGGAATGGAATGGAATGGCATGGAATGGAATGGAATGCAATGCAATGCTATGTTATGTTAATTATGTATGCATGTATGTGTTTGCCTCTGCAGAGCATAGACACAATCGAGGCATGCACCCCCAAACACAGACACTGCTGCAAGCAAAGGCAACTGCATGTCTATGCCTACGGGAGGAAAACCAAATGCGTAGTCGTACTATTTTTGGAATATGCAGAATCCACCGGTGTAGTAGCCTTGAGGGGTATAGGGGAATAATGACGTTCTGTTGTTTCATGTTGTTTGACTGTGTGGTTGCAGTTTCGGTTCGAATGTCTGGAGACGACGAGGTTATTAATTCGTTCGTCTGGACCCTTTTTTGTATTTAAGAATCATCCTGTTTTCAGACGCTGCCAAAGTGTATCCGTCTTTGTCTGAAAAGATGCAGGTCAAGCGCTTTGCTTGTTCTCACAGATCTGGTCAGTTTTGTCACTTGGTGAGATTCAACAAACGGTTCAAGCACATACAGGAACCATTGATGGAGTTTGGCGTTTGTTGAAGAAAGCTCTGCCCCAGCGATGAGAACCACAGATGTCACCGACAAGACCAAGATGTGAAGATCTGGCTGCACGCAAGGGCGTGGCAGTGGCGATGGGAAAATACAAAGCGTGACTCCCTCGCCACACTCACAGCGCACACGCTGCGCATCATGTGAAAAAGAATGAAGGCCGTGATGGGCCGTGATGACGATGATTTTCCAAAAAATGAGATCTCAGTTTAAGGAGTCTGACACACGGTGTCCATTGCAAATCACACGTGAATTGTAAAACCTCTTAGAATTACAATCATTGCCAAGTCTTCGAAGCAACAAAACTATGGCTAAAGTGCACATTTCAGTCAGATAGACAATGCTGCGAACGTGCAAAACGCACGTTCGGAAATCCACCCGCCTCGACTGATGAACAAACAGAAAGTGCACCCCTTGTTTACAGTATGTCTTCTGAAATTCCTTCATGCCTTAGCAGCGTCTGTCGTCTTCCTGAGGGGCACACCACATTTGCCTCTCCACTGCCCGGGTCTGAACCTTGGGGACGGGTCAAGCCGGGGCACGGAACTGTTCCTGTTCGGTGTCTTTTTGGACGGGCCGGCCATTAAAAAGACCTGGTGCAGGTACATGCATGTAGAAATATCTACTGATGTTGCAGGAAGAAAAATGGCAAGAGATTACCAAAGTATCCAGCATATCAAAGCGGGAATGCTTCGAGCCAGATGGCTCATCGAATCAAACCCCATGGCGCGTGCCATCTAAAGACCTTGGGAAACTCTGTGTGTACTTCCAACTCCAACACTCCCGGCGTGAGGGGCCGAGACAAAAGCACTATCCAACTCTGAAACTGTGGCACAGTTCTGACTCTTCTGGTGTGCTGTTCTCTGTGTTCTCTCTGTGTTCATCATATAGATGAAATGCAAGCAACTGCCTGCACCTGGTTCTTTCAAAAGGTCGTGCCTTGGAAGTTCATTTTGCCTCTTTGCACCAGACTGGAGGCGGGCCCATCCGGCTGAGCGAACCAAACTCACAAAGGCTGGAGGGATATAGTCCCGGATACAAGTCTCCTGGAGATGGGGCAAATGCTGAGCGTGGCGCATGGGAACCTTTTTGTTCAAAGAACTATGGAGGCCTCAAACGATTGATCTCGATGGCAAGAATACTAGCGTATTCGTTATAATGCGCTATTAGTTGTAATGCGTTTGTATGTTCGGCCCATTTTTCAGAGAATCACAGTAGACATCTTAAATCATATCATAATATGATTGCCACCAAACATGAGCTCGACAAACAAGAATGTCAGCACCTTTTGCGTGGGTTCCCCGGTGGCAACATGTGTCAACCATATCATAGGCTGAACAAACCCTAGGATACCCCAATACATTCCTTTTTCGATCTTTTTCGCAGTCGGCATTCCCCGGCAGTCATAGACGTGCTGATAGGCATTGCCATCGGCATTCAAGATGGCCCTGTCCTGTGCCGAAGCTCCGGAGTGTTCGGGTCAAAACCTGCTTTTGATCTACACACCACCCATTTGGAGGGCTAACGTCTATCTGAGTCTATCTTCCCCCCAATGTTCCAAACCCCTTCAATTTGACATGGCACTCCTAAAATGCTGCACCTTCACAGAGGCACTCCGTGCTGGGTTCTTTGGGTTCAACAATGCCAACGCGACCCCGCCCCCCACGTGACACCCATCGTGCTACCCATGTCCCTGCCTTGATCTCGATGCGCAAGCAGCTGTTGGCCAAGCCCAACGTGGCTCCTACCTGGCGATCACCGTGAAAAATGCATGAAAAAGCTTCGCACAAGCGCACCGTCCGTCCCCCCAAAATGGTCGCAAACGTCTGATGAAGGAGTGCATCTGCCCAACGCAATCGATTGGAGCTGTTCATCCGACATGGGCTTGGAACAAGGATTCAAAGATTGAACATGCGGGGGCAGTTGGCATCTTCCACACCGATGTTGGAATGGCAGCAATCGGGAGCAAGTGGCCAAATTACTTGTAGGGAATTCTACTGAGCTTTGACGGGCAAAAAAAAACAAAACAAGAGCGAGCTTGTGGACCTTCAGACCCCTGGAGCCCTGTCCTGCGATGGCAGCACTTGCAAGGTTCTGTCAACCACCTTGGCCACAGCGGCCACAGATTTGTCGGGTTCCCATCAGCAATGAACTCTCCTCTGTCCCGCAAAGGTTGCACTTGGACTGCAAAACTAAAGAGACACCAAGACCATGGACATGTCCTAGCAGATCCTTTCATATCCTTTCCATCCTTTTCCATCCTTTTCCCAATAAAATCTCGGATTGTGAGTGGAAAAAACAGTGGATTCTGAAAATTCTAGGTTTCCATGTTTAAGCTGCCAGTGACATTGGGAACCCTGCTCGTTCTTTGATCATTGGGTGGGGGGGGCAATGACGTTTTCAAGAATGATATTGAATCTTCCACAGGGGCAATGATATCAACAACAACAACAACAACCAAAAATTGCAACCCCGTTACACCACATCTTCTTTCTTTTTCTCTACAAGGGGGTAGAAACAAATTCTGCAACCCCGTCGTTGTTTTTTGGCCCCAAAACAACCAGACAACAAGCACTTTACTGCTACCACTACTAGTGGTGCTAGTGCTACTACTACTAGTGGTAGACACCCCCCACCCCGGGACGTGTGGACAGTGCGCGGGGCGTGTGCGAAGGCGGAGGGGGTGGAAACCCGGTTCTCAATCTATGCACTGAAAACCAGTCTTTTCTTGGAGGCTCCTGGAACTTTTGGATTCCAATGGAACAATATGGTCGATCTAAACGCCTTCTTAGGGTCTATGAAACTCCTCTGAGGGTCATGCTACTGGTGATGCTTATTGTAACTGGTTAAGTAAACCCTGTAAAACTTCTACTTAGAACCTCTACCACATCCTAGAAACAAAAACTGCAACCCCGTGGTTGTTTTTTGGACCCCCCCCTTCCAAAAGATGTTGTTGTCTCTACCCCCCCCTAGAAACAAAATCTGCAACCCCGTTGTTGTTTTTTGACCCCCCCCAAAACAACACAACAAAAAACAAGAAGCAGACCAACCAAGACTTGAGTACCACAACGACAAGAAGTCCAGCTACTAACATCTCTCCAAACCTTCGACCCTATCCCTAACAGAATCCCATTGAAATCCCTGACTTGCAACATGTGACAACTATGTTGGGCGGCTGTTTTTGTCTCTACCACCAACAACAACAACCACGACAACAACAACAACAACAACAACAACCGCAACCGCAACCGCAACCACAACCACAACCACAACAGCAACAGCAACAACAACTTTTCTTTCTTTCACACGCACTCGAGTGAGTAGCGCCGCCCTGCGGCCATAGGCCGGACTCCTATTGGAGATCGTTTCTGTACTATTGCAATTAGCAGGAAGTACCCGCAACGTCAGCTGGAGGAAAGCTCGGTCAAAAATCATTTGGTTGAGGCCAAGCTTCAAAACGTCAACTGGGGTGCCATTCACCCTTCATCGAGCCTAAGAAGGCCGAAAGAACCAAAATTTGGGTCCACTCTCACTGGGCCGGCAGCCATCTATCCGCAGCATCGCCTCCGCTGCCCCAGCAGCCGAAGGCCGTCCAGCGCCCAGCAGCAGCTGGCGCAGGTAGCAGCGGTAGGCTGCAATCTCAATTTCTGCCAAGGAGCCGATCGATCGAAACGTCGGCGGCACGAAGGCGGCCCAGCAGGTCAGCTAAGGCAACATCGTCCGGGTTGGGCGCACGCTGCGCCCGAGGCAATCCCGAATCATCTCGATTGGCAGCCAAGTTGCGGTGTCCTGAGTCATCCCTCGTAGGGAAATCCTTGAGCATCATTGCCGTGGATCGTGCAGCAGGGACCTGAAGATTCGGTTCATCCAGGAGAGCCTGAGAAGGTGGGACCTCAGTGCTGGAATGATCTGCAATGGCCCTGTCCTCAGGGTTGTCGGCAAATCCGTGTGGCTGCAGACCTGAGGAGGTATCAGCAGGGCCCAAACACAATGAAGGGCGGGTCAGAGTCTCGGTCTGAGGAGCATCCTCCTCACAATCGTCTCCCATTGAAATGGGAAGCAGCCAAAACAGGATACCTCTTGTGTGCATGTACTCAGGAACCTCAGTCACGTGGGCAGGTGGCTGGTTGTCGTCACAAAGCCAACGTTTGCCTGACTGAGGATCTTTGAGCAAGGCCCTGAAATGACCCTTCAAGGAGTCACCCAGGTGAGCTACACATGCCACCACTTGATGCGCTAGCCATCTGAGTCCCAGTCCGTCTCGAAGGAAAAACGGGAGGAGTACAGGTTCCATGAAGCCGTGTGGAGTCGATCAAACGGTCCAGAAAGAAAACCTTAGGGCCTTGAGAGTTGGTGAACGTGACAATGAAGCCAAGGAGTGAGCAACTCAGTCAGGGTCACCCTCTTTTTGTCCAGTTCGTACAGATGCACTAGGGCGATGGGCTGAAAATCACTGCCAGATTCATAGCAGCACAAACTTCCAGATGCCTCAAAGCGCCTCTCCCATGCTTGGGACAAGCGAGAAGATTTGCACCACAGCAGCGCTTCACTGATGAGCTCACCAATGTCACGCTGGTTTTGATGAGGTGTTCCCTCAAAAAGCTCAGCCAGGCAAGGATGACTGGCCAGAACCACCGGCTCATCCGCTGTCACGGATTGTAGCAACCCCTGAACTGCGTCCCATGCAGTTCGAAACGTGTACTCATCGAAGGACGAGCTGTGGAGCAAGGACCAAAACATGGTGACCAGGCCTGCATTGGCATAGCACCAATTGGCGGTGTTGGCACATTGCATGACCAGGAGCTGGTTGATCCATTGGTGCTTCATTGCCTCCCCTTGCGAGGGTGGAGGATGTCCTGGATGTCCTGAGCGATTTTGCTCCTCTGCAGGCCGTGTTGTTTCATCCGAGCCCCCATCAGATGCCAAAGGGACGACCCCGTCAATTGCCTCATCACGCTGGACAGGGAGTCGTTCCTGAGTGAAATTTGGAGCTTCCAGGGCACGACATCTCCTTTGCTCTGGGCCGAAGCCATCGCGAAAAAGCGAATGCAATTGGAGGGTTCTTGAAATGCCTGTTGAAGTAGCCCCAGATGCGACTCCATCGTCGTCCACGAGATGGATGCAGTTTGACTGACCACCAATTTTTGCTGCTGAGCATGCCACATCAAGTACGGAAAGCTCAAGTCCTCCAAAATGGTCAGACTCTTGACTGCCGCTGCCTTCGTGCCAGGGTCTTCGAGTTGATGATGTAATTTCTGGAACCTCGAGACCAACTCGTTGAGGATGGCTTGTAGAAGGTACGACCTTAGGGGCATCTGTGTCTGATCTGGTGGTAGGTCTCGCCATTGATTTGCTGCTCTGAGCAGCAAGGGCACTGCTCCGGAGTTGCCCCGTTGGAAGAACATCACAAACGAGTCCTGCATAGAAACCGAGTTCAAAGAATCCTCGTGTCGGATCAGGAGTTGGCCCATCAGTCGGCATAGTTTGGTCACCGGCATTGGGTCCTCGTCCCTGGTGGAGCTGGTGGACCGAGTCGTCTCGGATCTCATTGGCGAGGGGCGGCGAGCTTGTCTTCTCCGCTGTTGGGAGCGTGGAGCATCCTCCATGCGAGCTCTCTTCTCTTGAGGTGGTTGGGCCATCTCTTCCTGAGACACGAGCATATTTAAGAATACTTGGCCCATCTGACTCAGTCGATCTCCTTCGCTGACCGGCATCCGATCGTCCATCAGGAACTTCAGGACGAAGCCAAGTCAGTGCACAACCCAAGTTGCACAGGGTGGCACACTTGTGCTGGAGCTTGGCCCACACGCTGTCGTCAAGGATGGCGTAGTCCTTGTGACCTTGATTGCACCATGGACACGGCAATGGTTCCCGGAGGGCAGGTTGTTGAGCCGACAAAAACCGGTGCAGCAAGTGAAGGAGAAAGCCATTGTGTCCACTCTCTTGCCTATGATACTGTTGAAGATGCTCAATCAGCACGTTCGATGTACTTAGTGTGCGAGCACAAAGCAGGCAGGAGTGGCTCAGTTCCTGACTATGGCGAAGAAGGAAGGTCCAGGACTTCTCATCCGGGGCCAAGAGCCATGGTGCCAGCTCCGGAACCTGCGCATGAGGAGCTGAGTGATTGCGAATCAGCTTGTGGACCGAGTCCGTGGTGGGCGTCCATGGAAGCATGAGCAACCGATGTCGTGGGTCAACCAAGTGTTGAAGCATTGCCAATTGTCGATAGGCCGGACATCGGTGCGAGCGGGGTTGAGGTACTCTACATGGGTTGCAGATGCAAGGCAACCGAGCTTCATCAATGATGTTGGAGGTGAGATCTGCGGCACGATAGAAACCACCATGATGACATTGAAGATGTCTCACTAAGTCAGCTGTCCGGGAGTACGACTGTCCGCAGAAGCTACATTGCATCGTGAGGTTGTGTCTCATCGTCGAATCTCTGACCACCTCTCCCCATTTGCCAGCCTGGATCAGGGGCATGATGTAGTCGTCGCTCCTCATCACTGTGCCCAGTTCCTGGTCACCAAGTGGGTCCAGCTGTTCACATGATCCACGATCAATGTGCCGACGTAGTTCCCACAACTCCCCAAAGTGACTTCGACAATGCCGACAAACCGTGGTGCCAAGGACAGTGTCTCGTGTGCAACAGAACCGAGTGTGATCAGCTTGCAAATGACGTTCAAGTGCGTCTCGTGTGGGATAGAGTGCAGCACAGTGTATGCAGACATGATCAACAAGGTCCTGTTCAGCCGGATGTTGATGCGCATGCGGTAGCGGAGCCTCAGTGGTGAGTCGGTTCCATTGAGAGAGCACGGCAGCCTGTAGGAGAATCTTGCATTGATGGGAAGTACGATATTGAACTTGACACAGCTCACATGGGGAGCTTCGATGGTGAGCCCATTCTTCATAAAGGCGCTGGCTGATGAGAGCCAGATTGCCATGTTCCAACTGAAGATGATGAACCATGTCTGAGAAGCGGGATTGCTGTTTGCCACAAACACAACAATGGGTGAGCATGTAATTGACGAGTTCCTTGTTGTCTCCAAGGGCCTGGAAGGAAGGGCCCCGAATCAAGGGCACAGCCAATGTGCGGATCTTGTCCAGCTCCATGGAGTCAGCCTGAGAGTCATCAAATTGGGAGCAATTACCAAATTCAATGTGGGTGCGAAGATTAGTCCACGACTGAAAGGTTTTGTCACAATGTCGACACTGAGGAAGACCAGCAGGGGCGTCTCGTTCAATCCTGAAAAAGAACAATCTGCCGTGGCCCCGTGCATGCATGTGATGTTCATGTCGACTAAGAAGTGCAGCAGTGCTGAATCTAGCAAGACAAGTCCGGCACTGGAAAGCAGGCACTGTAGGGTCAACCGGAATGGCCTGAGAAACAATCCAATGATCCAACAAAGAGACCAGTTTCTGCGTCTCAGTCAGTGGAATCTGATGAAGGATGTCGGTATGGTCCAAAGTGTCCAGTTTGTCATGCCGGCCTTGCAGGATCCGGAGGCACGCCCGTCGGAGATATACGGCCGGTGGCTCAAGTTCAAAAACTTCATGAAACTCTGCATGTGTTCGATGTGTATCGCGTGAATGATCATGCATGAGCATACGTCTTTGCAAGGTCAACTGAGAAAGCAACTTCCTGAGCCCTGCAGGACGGCATCCAATCATGGGCAAGCCATACAGCGTGGTAGTTTGAACAGTGAACACCATAATGAGTCCCGTTGACGTGGCGAAAGGCCCTTTTTCGAACAAAGCCATGGTCGAAGGCGTTGAAAGGCCCGAAGTCCACTGAGGAGACGGTGCTGCACTGATGCAGATTGGAGGGTCTTGTAACTCAGCTTGATCCCTAAATATGGAACAGTGGAGTGCAGCAAGACCTTGGACACCGCAGCATTGCTCCGGGGAAAACAGATGTACCAGCCGTCCTCGGTGCGCTTGAGGAATCTGGCTTGTGCCTTCTTGTGCGCACTGCCCTGCAAGGAGACCATGGAAAAACATTTCTGTAGATTGATCTGTAGATTGTATTCCTCCAGAGTGTCAAGGAGAATGCCACAATTGTGAACAAACTGAGAGAGAGATTCCATGGTCGTGCAAGATTGGTGGACCAAAAAGTCATCAGCATAGATGGTAATGCACTGCTCAATCCATTCCCAGGAGGTCTGTTCGGCCAATCTAGAGAGTATACTGGTTGTGAGGCAACACCAAAGAAAAGGAGCAGCTTTACATCCTTGTCGAACCCCACGATGAACCGGAACAGCCGAAGCAAAACCTTTGTGGGAAATGTCATAGTGGGTGCCTCGATGCCATTCATGTAGCAAATGTAGACAGTCCCTTCTAACCCCCAAATCTTCCATCCCACGAAACAAAAGGTCCGGGAAACACTGTCAAAAGCCTTGCTCAAATCAAGGCTGAGAAGTGCACCGCCGATCAGGCCAGTGCGAGCCAGTTGGGAGTTCTGTCGCTCCGCAGGTCGCTGGAATTGAGTGATCAAATGCGCAACTTCCTGACAGTGATGCACGGCGCGTGCTATTGCATCCGCAGTGCCCCTGAAGGGCAAATAAGCCAGCTGTGGTGTGGAGCACAGAATATCCAACACAGATGCTCGAGCTCGCTCACTCACTAAGCCAATCACCGCTTTTCCAAAGACTTCTTGTAAGGCCAGGGGGCGGAGGTTTTTGGCAGAGTTAGGAGGTTTACCAGGCTTAGGAAGCAAAAACAGGTGCCCACTTTTCCAGGAGGTTGGGATATAGGGATCAGGTCTATGCCACCAAAGGTGTAACAGGGACATCAACTGACTAGCAATCAGGCTGGGATTACAAAGGACACTTAATGATGCGCATGTGCCGGGGGCATTGGCTTTCAACGGTGCCAGGCTCGAAAGCGCTCTCACCAAGTCTGCTTCAGTAAACGGAATCCCTGGACCTGTCGATGCACGGAAGGGCGGAAGAGGGGCCCCGGACCAGGTGGTCTGAACATATTGTTTCAGGGATGTAAATTCCTCCATTGGGCTAAGGATCCTACCAGATGCATCGCGAATTTGGATGCGTGTCGTCTTCTCCTTGGGGTTCAGCCGCCTGACAAGTTGATGTAATCGGCTCAAATCGTGTCGATCAGCGGCTTGCCTGGCATCTGTCAATACCTGCTGAATGCGATCTTCTTTAGCCTGAGCCGATGCAGTCTGTTGATCACGGTGGACCTTCCTATGCTGCGTGATCAGCTGCCAACATTCAAACATGGTGCGAAGAGACACGACTCTGGGGGTCTTGATCAGCTTGTACAGTGCCCATTTCTGGGAAGCAAGACCTTGAACCTGTCCCGTGGTCATGAGCCGTTCAGCTGTGAGTGAAAAGGTGTTTTGCATATCGGAAGTCAGGTGTGTGTGCAAATGTGTGAAGTTGCCATCACTGGGCCACCTGACTTGGGCTAGATATTGCGTGGTCCTGTGCACATAGTCCTGCCATCTGGCGGTACCTAATGTGCGTTCAGAGCGACCCCTATTTCGGTGAGCAAAGCTGACAGAACTCAGTGCAGCTCCTGTCCACGGCTTCCAAGCCATGGAGATGGAGCAGACCAAGGGACAATGACCCTGCAACGAAGTGCCCATCAAGGGGCAACTTGGGATGGGAGAACACTGGCGGGCCTCGTGATCGACCTGCTTCAGGCGTGTACATACAAAATCGATGCGAGATCCAGTGCCTTTGCTGCCATGAAAAGTGGCAGGCAGGCCAGGAAGCATGGTTGACAGCACACAATCCATGTTGCTTGAGGATGGCACTCAACAAGTGTTGGTCAGGGTGTTGAAAGCCAACAGTTGAATGTCCATCATCTCCAACAAAGTTAGCATGTGCAACATGAGGTGGTTGATGTGGAAGGCTCGTATTAAAATCTCCAACGAGGAGGAGATTATTACGTGTGGGAAGCATAGCAAGGTATTCGTCCAGAGTTCGAAAGACATCTTCTCTAGTTTGCAAGACATGAGGCATGTGTTGATACGTTTTCTGGTAAAAATTCAGGATGTCAAGAGGCCGCTGATGATGGATGCGGACATGCAACAGCCTACCATCCAAAACACTTTTCCACGAAAGTTGATCAATGTTACAAAAAGTCTTACGAACAGCTACCAGAACCCCAGTCGACTGTCTAGGGTTACCTCCGGCAGCAATTAAGTACCAAGCTTCATGATTCCATTCTTTGATGCCATCCCATCGAATCTCTTGCAGAGCAAGGATCTGAATCTTCTGAGGCCTTGCCCATGCCAGGATCTCTTCCAGTTTGGAGCGGCCCAATCCACCACAATTCCATGAAAAGAGACGCACTCGATTCCTCAACTCGCGGCACGACGGGGTCACGGAATGAGGCAGGGGAATCGTTCCGGTCGAGGGCAAGGCACGAACAGTGGTGCCAAGAGCACAAGCATCATAGAGTTTACCCCTATACCATGTGAATCCATCACGTTGTGCACGCTTCACGGCCCTACGATAGCTTCGTTTGTGATTAGAGATCAGGTGATGATCTTTATTGCCATTATGCAATCTACTGTTGGGCGTGTGTCCATGTTGTTTCGTGGCGAAGGGTGGGATATTCATGAAAGCATCATGCCCAGCCACTCCCGTGGCAGCCATGGATCTGCCACAAC